ATTGCCATTCACATAGCAGGAAAACTAGATGAAAACAGACATGGCACAGACTTAAGGGCATTATGGGGTATTGGTGAACAGACCTACACGATGGCAAGGAAAACAACTACACAAAAATGTACTTAAATCTTTATTGTTGTCTCCTTCTCCAGCACCAGACTCATTTCTTAACAGGAATCCTTGAGAATAAATTACTACAGGAATTCATTACTTCAGTGAGGAGCTTGCAGAGTTTGTGTTAGGGAAAGCTTGTCTTCCATGCTTACACTATTCGACCAAGATATATTGACTTGGGATACTTTTCCTTTAGATCAGGCCACTGAACAATGAAATAATCTGAAAAGTAGTACAGGATCTTCCCAGAGAGGGATAAAGTTTCCACACGGCAGATGCTCTCCACATACACAATGATTGCTCTCTTTATTCCTAGAAGCCCAAGGAGAAGAGCAGATACACAGACAGGAACACATGTTCCTGGTCCATTGCACAATATCTAAAAGAGATGAAACATGTTACACAAGTAAAACGTGAGTTTTTTCATAGGGTGAAGAATGAAGTGTGTGCTTTCATGTCACATTCCACTTACAAATCAAAATATTTCCAAGGATATCTGAAAGCACAAAAGGGACATGTGAATATGAAGAAAAATGGGGGGAATGGGGCAAACAAAAGACATTATTTCAAAGTAGCTGCTGAAAAAGATCATCTTTCTTTACACGTTGAGGAGGAGAAGAGCTCTGAGAGGACGCAGTTAATCAGTTCATGTCTATGAAGGAAGCAGAAGACTCAGGCGTATACAGCTTAAACAGCTTCTAATCTCACTCACAGCTTTGTGTTGTATCACTAATGAGATTTGTGCACCGCTTAGGGCCAAAGAAGTTTAATTAGTATTACTAAAGCTGGGATCTGGTTATAAACCTCTTGAACTTTGGCTTAAGTCAGTAAAACACACAGGAGTTCAGCAAAAATGTGCTGATGACTTAGGACCTTCATCAGAATCTACTGATGTGCATGACTGCATTTGTTTTGCTTTTAATAAACGCTGGGTTTAAACCACAACAACATAGGAACAAGCATACAGAAGGAAGGTGTTTCGGAAAATACATGTCACATCCTTGTAGCGGATGAGCTCAAATTCACTTAAAAATGTTAACAGTAACAGAAAGTGGTCTTCCACTTCTAGACACTGGGAAACGGACATGCAGATTGCTTAAAAGCAGAAGGTTTGAAGCAGGGTATGTTAAGGCACTCTTCTTGGGTATCCAAACTGTTTTCAGGCAAAGAATTTCGTACTAAATTTAACTGCTACCATGTAATCAGCGCTTTGCTGCACAGCTGGGGGTTATGTGGAACGAAAGCCTTCTTTTAGAAAATCATGACCCTATTGCTTGCCAAATTTGATTAATGTGCACTGATGTTGATTGTGCTACTGGTACTTGACTACTGATACCGAAATGAAGGCATGTTTAGGTATCTCTGTAATTGCATTTGTTACTGTAGTGTAAACATAGGCATGGGAATCAAGTTGGAATGTTCTGTGTTTGCAGGCAAACCCCATCAGGGTCCCTGCTGCAGCATCTCTTTAGGCAAGTGCATAAAAAGCACCAAAACAGTCCAAAAAAGTGATTTACTACTGTTTTTTATTGGTGAGTTAAATATTCAATCTGACTCCTGATTTCAGATTAAATATTCAGCTTGAAGTGAACAGACAGAAATGTGCATCGCTGCTAAACAGAAACTCTTCTTTCCCTTTCCTGGAGCTACCTGGAGTACAAATACTGTTTCATCTTCATTGCTCCCCAAGCCCTTTTTCTGTTGCATTAGTCCTCTCCCCTGTCCTTTCCTAAGTATCTTTCATTTCAGTGTTCCTCTGTAGTCTGAGATGTATCCCACCCATCCTCTCTCCCCTTATTTTCTTTGTGATCTCTGGTATTTGTTTTCCTCTCCATCCCTGTTCCCAGCCACTCTTCCACTGTCTGGACTCAGACAGCTCTGCACTCTTTCAGCTTCCATCTAGTCTGAAAGCTCAACCCACTGGTTTAAAGCAAGGAGAGAGTTTGACATCAGTCCCTTACTCTCCATAGTCTGACACAAAAACATACCAGTCACAGATACGAATTAGGTCAGGCAGACATCCTACATCCTCCTCAGCCCAGAAGCTGAAGTATTACATTCATGGTCTTTATCAAGCCACTGTGCCGTACACTTCATCTTACTTCCCCCTCTCTTTATTAAGCTTGGCTAGGGGCTCCAGCCTGTCTGGTATTTGGTATTCCTGTGTCTAAATGCACACACAGAGGTAAATGCTAGCAGGAATTCCAAACTAAGTAAAGTTTATGTAAATAAAGAATAGTAATTGAGTCTAGTTGTGACTCTGTATGTAGCTCTAAAGGCCACACGGAGTTGCTGTTACTACTTTGTTGACGTGCAAAACAGAAAAGCAATAATCAAAATTGAAATTATAATAAAACACCTTTACTAAATCAAGGTTCTGATATGATGCACTCAATTTATACCTTCTACTGACTGTTTATAACTTGTAAGTTGTTTCTCAGATCCCTTGGATTCATGGAAAAGTAACTGTACGCAAGAAAAAGAACCAGGAAAATTATGGACTAGGCATCTCTAAAAAACCATGATCTGATCGTAACTCACATCCTCTGCTCTTTCCCCTTCCACACATACTAGTTGAAACGAGACAAACCGCATGGGACTCTATAGGACCTCTATATCCAAAATGCCCATTAAATACTCTGACTATAGATGTTCCTATTTTAAAAAGTTTGGGTTTAGGAACTGTCCCCTGAAAAAGACTGGTATAAACTTGCTGAAGCCACCAGACAAATAGAACCCTATCTGAATTTGGGGTTGTGATCATTAAAAATTAACCTTCAGTTAATCTTCTGTGTGTGTCCAGAGACATGTCGTACCTAGAAAATGGTGCAGTTGCTCACGTGCTGGAGTGGCAATTCCCCTCCAAAAATCTGGTCCGACCAGTCCTACTTACTCCCTCTCACATTGTCAGCAGGAAGGGAGACCAGCATTCCTGCTGCTTGGAATACAGTATCATACAGTCATCAAGGGATACAGGGGAAAATCCTGAGACAAGAAGTGTGTACATCATAAGATGAGGAACCTTTGTGGAATCTATAAGCTAGAAGTATGCTGTTCAGTTCCTTCCAGTATACAAACTTGTCGATGATGGAAAGGAACTGAATCATCTACATTCACCCTTAAACACATAAAAGGAGATGAGCTGTCCTACTAGTGAATCTCAAAACACTGCTCAAAAGTACCTTTTGGAGGACTGGTGTTTTCCACCTTGAAAAGACCAAAGCTTTTGTTTCTTCCCCTGCAGCAGAACACAAGTATCTCTCAGGGAATCATCAGTATACTGTGCAGAAAAAGCAAGCACCTATTGGGCAAGAAAGGACCAGGGCCTCTACAAGGTCAACCAGCTATTGAGGGTAAGCGTTTCCCAGTATCTATTTACTTTAGCTACAAGGCTGCCTGTAGAATATTTGCGTTGCATGAGATATGTCTCCACAGATCTCTAGTTTATTTGGTTCAGACTTCTGCAGTGAGGCAGCAGAAAGGGAAAGAAGGAGCCTCTGTGACCTTCTGAGCTGCCCAAGGATTTTCTTGGTCAACGGGCAACCTGACTTTGTTGCCAGCAAGCTGTAAGGAATCATTCCAGAAGGTAGTGTTGCAGATCTCTGCACCATTTGCATTCGCCTCCACTACTAGGTCTAGGAACTAAATCCTGCATATTAAAATCCTCTACCAAGTCAGTGTAACCACTTTTGAACAGTACAATAAAATGAAACAATCTGTATATTAATGGAGGTTTAAAAGTAAAGGATCAGAATACAAGATTTATACTCGGTGACTCTCTAATTACATATTAATCACTTTCCTATTAAAATGGAGTAATTGTTGCTTTTCTGTTTCAGATATTTTCTACCACTGTTGAAAGAAAACAAGCTAAGCCAGCAGTCTGGCGTACTGGGAACACTGGCACATGGCACAGCTGCTGATAAAAGCTGCTTTAGAGTTGGTGAATGCAGCTCTGTAGTAGAATGACATTTACCAGCTCAAACACTGAAAGCATAGCTCACAGCTTCACCGGGATTAAATGCCAGGCCACCAGTTGAAACAAAAATGAGTAAAGCAGAAAACATGCAGTTTTCCTCAGCAATATGTAAACATACATTTGCTGTGTATCTTTAATGAACAGATGCTCGAGTCCTGCTTATGTTCACAGATTACAACAACTGGAGGACAGCATCAGTTCCTCAAAACTTAGGAGAAAGTGGAAAACTCATGGGAGATCTGTTTTGCATAATAAACTGTCGGCACCTGCTCTTCTCCTTAATAAATTCCACAGGGATTGGCCTTTGCCACCTGGAGAAAAGCTACTCAGCTTTCTAGGGCTGGGGATGTTGATTAGTGTTGCTGTAGGGTGATGCACGCTTGAGAACTGAAGACTGCATTGCTTGCTGCCTATGGAGCTGTCTCTTGGAGTATGTTCAGAGGACACTCCTCAAGCTTCCTTAGTGCTGGTAATGCTTCCTTCCTCACAATGCTAAATAAGTGGAGGTAAGAATAAGGGACTAGATGGTAGTGATGGAGAACCACTAAAAGAGGCAAAGGCAAGCAGAATGGTACCAACAAGCTGGGTTAACTGCATCATCTTTGTATATCTAGGCAAGAAAACAGAGCTACTTTTGACCAGTGTTGCGAAAAAGCCCAATTAGGTATTTTCTGCTTCTCAGGAACAAAAGTGTGCCTGTAATTTATTAATAATTTTGTATTTTTGATGGCCTGCTCAAACTTGGCTTTTGTTGATGATAAATACTTCATTTCAATGGCTATTTAATATTTGGGAACAAAAAGGAACTGTTCAGCCTGTAGAGATACAAAAGCCAAGAAGATACCTCTGAGATTTGTCAGAAAAGTCAGAGATTTGAATAGCTCTTCCTGATATTTTAAGGAAGGCAAAGGGATAAAAAAAGAAGGCTGTATGGAAGAGAGGAAGTGGGAAACCAATCTGAACTCCAATTGAAAGGCGTCATTTAGAAACAAAAACCTGGATTCCTGTATTCATCAGGTAGGAGCTGGGGGTTTTGACACTGCAGGAGTTTCTTGCCTTTGATGATTTCAGAGTGCAATACCAAATGGGTTTGTTGATGTGTTTCTTGTTTTGCTGGGGGGATCTTGACTGTTTCTGTGGCATGAAAAGAGAGAATCTGCAAGGAATTAATTTGTATTCTGCTATGTAAATCACAGCATGTCATGAGCTCATCACGCTTTGCTTGGATTTCAGTATTATCTTACTACACACTGAGGTGAAGTATCCAGCTGAACATACATTCCCTTCCCCTACAGAAGCACTGAATGCTACCTACAAAGGCAGCTGTAATCTGGCTTCTTGGACTCAGCTGTTCCCATTTCCTACCTGTGATTCCCAAGGACCTGGTTCCACTGAGTGCTCAATGTAGCCTGAACAGCTCCCAGGCATTGCAGCCCTGCAGCTGTGGGACCCGCTTTCTTAATAGTGGAGATGCTGTAACTGTCAAATCAAACTAACAAAAGCATCAGTGAACAAATACCAATTTTAGTTGTAAGTAGATTTACCTCATGAGCTCATGACCAAGATGCAAGTCTGGAGAGGTAAGAAACTGGGGTTGTACTCCCATTTCTGCTGTGGACTCACCATGGGATTTGGGGCATAGCACTTAACTTTCTCTAACATCAATGTTTTCTACTTTAGCACTGGGAAAACAATTTACTTATCACAGAGTGTGCATCAAAATTCCTGCATCTCCTTCTCAGTGAAGATCTCCAGGTATGGAGAGTACTGCTTTTATATTTGCATGCTGTTTGTTTCAGTATCATGTTCTGCGAGTAAGAGAAAATGTGCATGTTCTTTTCTTTTGAATAGATTTGGGGTTTTAAATATGCTCAGACATAGCAGGGCGTATCCATGAAGGAACAATTTCTGCTGGTAACTTCGATGACAGCTAAAGCCTGCATGGCAAATAGAGAGAAATGGTTTTTTTTTTTGCCATAAATGAGTAATTCTAAAAGGTTTCAAGAGATACACTTTTTATCCCCCAGGGAGGTACTCCAGTTAGGACAGAAGTAAGGTCTCTTCCAGGGAATATAAATTTATTTGCTACTCGGGAAAACAAGAGAATTCTGAGGATTTGGGAGAGGGATTTCTCCTTAGCTCCAATACTTGAGCATGTGGGAGGGAGTGTTCTTGTTAAAGCTTTTGCTAGTCTAGCTCTTTAGCATGTCTGAGAATTCAAGTTTTGAACCTCAAGGAATGCTAGCTTAGAATTGTTAATGGGTTGTTTTTTTCTTTTCAAGGCTTAAAACCAAAAAAGGCAGGAACCTTTTCCAACAATTCCTTATTACTGCAACTGGTCAGGAGAAAGAAGAATTTCAGGTTCTGTTCGAACAATATAAAGGTCATTAAATTACCTACTGCCTTGTTCTTTTTGAAGAGTGAAGATCTTACCCAGTTCACTTCCCTCCACAAGCTGTATATAAAACCACGTGGAACTTCACACCCTCTTTGCTGTTTGAACTTCCCTGCAGAATACAGGCTGGGACAAAAAATACCTAGATGTGTAGTCTGATGTAAATGGGTAATTAAGGTAGAATTGATTTTATATCTGGGCACACTCTTATCCTCTACTGTCTAAATTACTTGACTCATCAGGAGTGCAAGAAGATAGTGTTCTATAGCAACAGTTTGTGTTCAGGCTGGTCAGCAACTATCATCTGTAGCTTGTAGCATTGCCATGAAAACCTTTCTAGTACCCTTCTGTGTATCTTGTTGGCACAGTTCCTGTTGTTGCCATCATACAGTACACACAGCAGGTAAGGTGCTGTTCAAAACAAGCACAGACATGTGTGGTCCTACAGGCAGATTTCTTAACTAGGATAAATAAGATCAGTGAATGCCAGAACAGGAAAGAGAGAAGTGGAAGTGCGGGGACTTAAATCAGCACACTGCACCGTTGGGTTTCTAATGTGCATTGCTTTACTTTGGAGTATTATTTTCATCATAGAATTAAATATGCTGGGAAGCATCACCAACTCTCTTGTTCCTGCAACTCTTATTTTATAAGCGTTCTCCTGAAGGAGAGGAAGACAAAAATCCTACCTCATGGATCTTCCTATGGGAGGAAAGGAGAGCTTCCACAAAGCTGCCAGGAAGTAGACTTAACAACAGGATTTAATTGCAACAGCACTAGGCATTGTCTCATCTGCCTTCTAGGTATTTAGTGGTCTGACCCAGTCTTACCACCCAAATGTCCTCAGGGGCAAGAGACAAGAGAAGAGGCCCAGCTGATGCGATTTGGATCAGCATCCATATACCAAGCAGTGAGGGGAAACTCCTAGTTTCTGTACTTCAGCATTGCTCAGGCTGTGCATCCGGCTGTTTGACACTTAAACAGCTCAGGTCTGGTTCTGAGTATGCCTGGGGGCTTTACTGATGAAAAGGAAGATAACCGGGGTCATTAAGAGCCTCAGAAGTTAGGCAACAACTTAGTGAAGGGAGAGAATCTAGATTTGGACGCATAAAGAAACATGTAGGCTTGACTTATTTATATATTTCTTTTTGATGAAGCTAACCTTAGGCACCCCACTTAACTGCCCTGCATCTCAGATGAAAGGTGGCAGGTCTGTCATTGGGATTAAAAGGTTTTTGGAGTGGTAGTTTCCATCAGCACACTCCCCACCCTAGTTGCCAAATGTAAACTGAGAAACACAGAACCAATGTATTGAAAATAATGATAGGTATGAAAGTGATGCTAATGGTCAAGTCTGTAGGAATGTTAAGTGTTGGTTATTAAAACATTAAATTAACACCCACACTGTCAGTGGGACCAACCAAACATCATGAGCTCTGCCAGAAGTTTGTGTCAAGAAATAGTGGCACCAGTGAGTCTTGTGATTAACTGTGGGAGGTGGATATAAGCTTGGTTAAAAAAGGACAAGATTACCAAGGCAGATGCAGGCTAGAGAATAAACTAACTCCCTACCTGCATTACCATGGAGTGGGTTTCTGGTTTATTGCTGCTGATAAATTATTAGGAATTAAAGGAAATTTGTGTGGATGAAAAAGGTGGTCATAAACAAATTCAGTGAAATGCTTTTGCTATTGAATGAAATTGTAGATACTGAAGTACATCTGTAGCTACAGTCACTAGGTACTAAATAGTACTTTCAGCAAGCAGTTGTTCTAAGTGTCACCTTGGCTGAGTCTGAACCTGACTAAAGTGTCTTGGTCAGAGCACCATGAGAAGTGCCATAGAAACTTTTACAGCCTATTTAAAAGTAATGGCTTATCTCCTGATACTAAAAAGTACTGCTTAGTATAGTAGCCTGCCTCTATTTGAAAGGAAAAATCAAGTCAAAAGACTGTTAAATATAATCATACATATTACTACTCATGGCCTAAAATGAGCCTTTAACTGCAAATCTCAATGTGTCTTTCATTAGTTAAGCATTCACTTAACTAGAGCTTGACTGCAGTATTTTAGGTTAGCTAAAATTGGTACTTTATACGTATGTAAACATCTTTGAGTCTACTGCTTAATCACTGCAGTCGATACAGTGAGAATCCACATCAAATACCTGAAATGTCTTCACAATGCAAAATCTAGAGGTATTAGCCATCTGTAGCTGACTGACAGCAGTGGCCTGGTTCAGTGGTCAGATATAGCAAGACTGTTTACTTCGAACCATGCTTTATAAATGGAAATGTGACCAAGGTATTAATTCGGTTCGCAACGAATCTGAGAGCTGATGAATTAAGTCTGAATAGTCTTTAGTTTAACCTCTGCTTAAATCTAAGCTCTCAGTTCTTCTTTACTGCTACTTCTGTCATCCCTCTGAAATGCAGTGTCTACAGGCATGTCTAACTGGCAGTCACAGAAAGAGCAGAGCAGTAACCTAGCTTTAAACTAACCAATGTGGATAGCTTTAGATGTTTATCATATGTGTTCAGCAAAAGGTAATTTCGCATTGTGGCTGCAGGGTAGCTGTACACAGCATACAAGATAGTAGAGAGGGGTGAGTAAGCCTCATATTTTCATTAACACTGAGAAGTTAAATTTCAATGACTTTTGTTTCCTTTTTAGACTACACGATTTGAATCACTGAAGGTTTTAAGCCAATGTTCTTACTCTTGCTTCTTTTGACTGTTTTGATCCTAGAAGAACAAGAGTAGATCAGACATATTGTCAATCTGGTCCAAAAGAATTATAAATAGTGGGGAAAGATTCAGCATACAAAAGAATGCACCAGATAGTCTTAATACTGCATTATACAAGGTTCACTTGTTATGGAGTGAATAGAGGAAAAAATGCCACCACCCAGCTTTTGTAGCTTTCCACAAAGTTCTAATAAGAACTGTGATATAAGGGACAATAACTTACTATTTGTCCTAGTCATTTGTTAAAGTGCTATGAAATAAAGACATCTGTGGGCAGGGCATAAAGAATGGAAAAAACTTAGCTAAAGGAAATAATGATCCTCTTTCATATAGCTTACTATGTGAACACTTCTGCACCAACTCTAGAAGCTTGTTGCAGTGAATTTAACCAGTCAGGGGACCAAGCGTGTGTGATGGGATGGGCAGGCATAGAAGAACTGGTAGGCTGCTGGAAGCATAATCAGCTGAGCAGGTTTCAGGCTTCTGGAAAGAAGTTTAAGGAGAGACTCACTCAGCTGACAGCTGGTGGGGAAGGAGACAGCAGAGCTTGTTGTACTTGCTGTGCAAATGTAAACTACTTACTATGGCCTTCCCACGGGAAGGAGGCCCTGTTCTGGAAGGACTGCCTTCTTTGCCTGATTTAACCCAGGTTTTCCCAAATAGCAGTGATCTGAAAAGGTCTGCTTATTTCAAGCTCTGCAGAGCACTAAGGCAGTAGGAACTGCTGAGAACTTTTCCCAAAAAAGCAAACTAAGTCTGGTCCTAGGGGTCCAGGATGTGCAGCCCACTAATGAGGGGAGCCTTCTGCAGCATTTTGGCACAGTTCTAGGTGAAATTTCATTATATTAAAGGAGAGCAAATCACGGATCAAATTATGGACACGCTGGTAAGGTGGGCTGATGCCAACCTTATGAAGTTTAACCATGACAAGTACAAGGTCCTACACCTGGGTCGGAGCAATTCCAGGCACAGCTGCAGGTTGGGCAGAGAAGAGATCCAGAGCAGCCCAAGGAGAAGGATTTGGGGGTGTTGGTTGATGAGAAAATGAACATGAGCCGGCAGTATGCGCTCACAGCCCAGAAAGCCAACTGTATCCTGGGCTGCATCAGAAGGAGCGTGACCAGCAGGTCAAAGGAGGTGATCCTGCCCCTCTACTCTGCTCTCATGAGACCTCATTTAGAATCATGTGTGCGGTTCTGGTGTCCTCAACATAAAAAGGACATGGAACTGTTGGAACAAGTCCAGAGGAGGCCATGAGGATGATCAGGGAACTGGAGCACCTCCTGTATGAAGACAGGCTGAGGAAGCTGGGGCTGTTCAGCCTGGAGAAGAGAAGCTGCGTGGAGACCTCATAGCAGCCTTCCAGTGTCTGAAGGGGGCCTATAGGGATGCTGGAGAGGGACTCTTCATCAGGGATTGTAGTGATAGGACAAGGGGTGATGGGTTCACACTGAAACAGGGGAAGTTTAGATTGGATATAAGGAGGAAGTTCTTTACTATAAGGGTGGTGAGGCACTGGAATGGGTTGCCCAGGGAAGTTGTAAATGCTCCATCCCTGGTGTTCAAGGCCAGGTCGGACAGAGCCTTGGGTGACGCATTATAGTGGAAGGTGTCTCTGCCCATGGCAGGGGGTTTGGAACTTGATGATCTTAAGGTCCTTTCCAACCCTAACTATTCTATGATTCTATTGTAGCTATCCATTTGTAGCCCACTGTAGCCCATCTACGGCTAAAAACAAGGACTGGATGCAATTCTGCTGCATGGTACCCGCATGTTCTTTGTTTTCAGTTTGAATTTCAGGTGTGTAAGAATGACTGGAATAATCACGTTTTGTTAAATACAACCTAAGGACTAAGTCACCTGAAGATCTGGTTTCGGGGTTTGCAAGTCAGCCTAGAGACAATGACAACAGTTCTGTAAGCAGCAGAAGAACTGGAGATTGGTTTCCTCTGCTTACTGACTTAATCCATATTATAAGAAGGCTGTAACATTAGTTTATTCCTTGGACATCAAACTGTGCAACATTCAGTAACTGTCTTTGTGAGAAATCTCTGTGTCTCGTCCTATTTTCTGTAACTAAATTGGTGTAATTTGTATCTTTCCCTAGAAAGTAGGTCTTCTAACATCTTATTCTGGTTTTATGTTTCTTCTCAGCCTTTCAGTGAAAGCAGTAAAAGTCTTCTTTGACCAACTGTTTTCATGGTAGGAATTTGCAGTCTTTGAGGCTATGACTACCTATTAAATCTGTCTGCAATTGATGGGTTTAAAAGCTTTTGTGGGGAAAGGAAGGTGTAGGCAAAGTGTGCTGGCACAAGTCTTTCTTTCCTGGAATTTTAGGCCTTTGCATAGGAAGCCTAAGGCTGCCCAGCATACACATGCCTGCAAACCACTGTAACGCCTATATTTCTATAGTCCTTAGCTATAGGAAAACAAGCTGATCATGACTTCTGACATCTTGTTATTTGGTTTAATATCTCTAAAGGGACTTAACTTGCAGAAAGCAGATGTCTGTAACTCGGAAATGGGCCTCTTGAAGATGATCTCAAACTGAACAACTAAGCTTTTACATTTCTTTAAACTCCCTGTGGGCCCATTTCAAGTATGGTTCAAGTCCTGCAAGACAGCAGAGGTCTCCTGGAAGTTGCTTAGCTCTTTCTGAACTCACTATCTTGAAGAAGGTTTAGACGGAACTGATTTCTCATGCAAACTAAACTTAAGAAACTTTGCCAGAAGATCAGCGGGAGATACAAAGGGGACACAGTGCTCATGTAAATAAGCACATATACAGTAACTCCTGTGCAGCTAGGTTTGCTGTTTCCCCTTTACAGCTCTTCTGGCTCCACAGATATGCTAGTTATGCCAGCCTAAGCCTATC